AGGAGGAGTAGTAGTAGTTGTTGCTGTTGTTGCTGTAAGCGCAGAAACAGTAACAGTAATGGTGGTAGTGGTAGTAGTAGTAGAGTAGTCGTCGTCGTCGTCGTAGTAATAGTAGTAGCAGCAGCAGTAGAGTAGTAGCAGTAGTAGTAGTAGTAGTAGTAGTAGCAGCAGCAGGAGTAGTAGTAGTAGTAGTAGTAGCAGCAGTCGTAGTAGCAGCCGTAGTCGTCGTTGTAGCCGTAGTAGTAGTTACAGTAGTAGCCGTCGTAAAGTCGTAGTACCAGCAGCAATAGTACACGTAGTAGTAGCAGCAGTAGTAGTGGTAGTGGAAGTAGTAGTAGTAGAGTAGTAGTGGTAGTAGCAGCAGCAGCAGTAGCAGCAGTAGTAGTGGTGGAAGTAGTAGTAGTAGTAGTAGTAGCAGTAGTAGTAGCAGCAGCAGCAGCAAAAGTCGTAGCAGTTGTGGTTGTTGTTGCAGCGGGAAGCACGAGCATCAGCAGGAATAGTACTACAGGTGGCAGTGGCATCAGCAGCGTTAGACGCAACAGGAATACCAGTGGTGGAGGCGCTGGCCTGGTAGTCTGATAGCAGCGTCAGCAGCTCTGGGCGCAATCACAATGTTTTTTCAAAACGACGTGACAAGTGAAGTCCACTGTCCCTCTTCTTCATCAGCCACACGCCTCCTTCCACGAGAACATGGCCTTCAAGAATGCATCCTCCTGGTCTGTAAAGCTTGTTGCTTTCTGGCTTCAGGGTCTGGGAGGTTCGGTCCATTAATAATTACGTCAGAATTCAAGTCCCGGGCCCACCATCGAAAACCCAAAAATCCCAAATCCCAAAACTAAAATGTCGTGGGGTGCACTGCCTTTGGGAAGCCCTCGATATGGACAAGCAGTAGTAGGATTCCTATGCTGCTATGTCTATACATATATGCACACGTAGCTATGTATCCGTAGATCTTCTACTTACTTAACTCAACCTTCTGGAAGTTATGCATCTACGTAATCTATGTATCTACTCAACTGTCTGTCTACCTTTTGAAGATGATTGCAATGTGCGTGTATCTGCGTGTATGTAATTGTGCATGTAGACATCAAGAGAGGGAGAGAGAGAGAGAGAGAGAGAGAGAGAGATGTATATACATGTATGTATGTTTCAAAATCACACACAAACTCAAACCTCCAACATCTGTGCAAAAGTGCAGCATGGAACCGGAAGCTCGACAAAGGAGCACGAAAGGAAACCTCAAGCCATCCATTCACGAAATCTACATACCGCAAGTCACAAACATAGCAGAAACAGCTGAACGGAATACAGACTGCAGTGACTATAGTGAGCATCGAAGAGATACCGCAAGGATGTTCCCAAAACGCACGATCGACAGAATGCAAGCTTGCTGCAAAAACAAATTTCACAAGCTGCCGTCCATAAAGCTTTACTATGCTACAGTAGTTGATGCTCTGTGCTTGAGCATGATGTTGTGGACGTCTTTGGTGACCGGCACTCAATCTGAAGTCATTTGCTTGGCGAAGCATACCCCGCACCGCAGTAAGCCCCAGGCTCCAGCAAAAGCTCTTCAGCCCAAGCGGCAAGGGTTACGAAGTTGTCCACCGCAAAGTTTCCTCGGCTGTTCTGCAACAAATACGGTGTATTCGGAGTCTGTGGTGGTTTCGTGATGGCTGCAATTCAACTGTTGTGGTGGCTGCTGCTTCTGCAACGTCTGATGCTGCAGCGCAGCTAATGGCGCATAGCCACCACCACCACCACGGTCACCATAATGATGGCCGCTATTATCTTGCCCTGATGCGACAAGTGGGAAGTGGTAATCGCAGTTGTCGTTGTGTCAGTAACAGCAAAGCACAGCAGCACTAGTAGTTGTCGTAGCGCTAGTGTTAACGGCAGTGCTGCATCGTTGTGGTGGTTGTGGTACTGGTACTGGTACTCATAGTGGCAGTAGAACTAGCAGTGCCAGTGGTAGTAGTAGCGCAGGTGGTAGTGGCAGTGGTAGTAGTAGCAGCAATAGTCGTAGTAGTCGTCGTAGCGGTCGTAATAGTTATCAGTCGTGATCGTCGTCGTCGAGGTGTTGACGGCGGTAATGTATATGTGGTAGTAGTCGCCGTCGTCGTCGTACTAGTAGTAGTAATAGTAGTAGCAGCAGCAGCAGTAGCAGTAGCAGTAGCAGTAGCAGTAGCAGTAGCAGTGGCAGTGGCAGTGGCAGTGGCAGTAGCCGTAGTAGTACTAGTCGTCGTCGTAGTAGTAGCAGTAGCAGCAATAGTGGTAGTGCTAGATGGTAGTGGTAGTGGCAGCAGGAGGTAGTCGTGGCAGTAGTGGTAGCAATGGCACTGGTGATAGTGGTGGTAGTGGTAGCATTGATAGCAGCATAAGCGGTGGTAGCAACTTTGGCAGAAGTAGCAATAGTAACAGTAGCAGCAGCAAAAGCAGTAGAAGCAGAAGGAGCAGCTTTTGAGCTTTGCACGCAGTGGTCGCCCCACCAAGCGACGGAACAATCACGAGCAGGCATTGCCCGGCGGTGTCCGCACCACCTGTGGTGGCCTCACATCTCACTGTAAACCTACAGTAGAAGCTGTAGCAGTAGCAGTAACAGTGGCAGCAGTAGCAGCAGTAGCAGCACTAGCAGCAGTAGCAGTGGCAGTAGCAGTGGTAGAAGTGAGAGTAGCAGTGGTAGTCGTCGTCGTGGTGGTCATGGAAGTAGTAGAAAAAAATACTGATCTCGTTTCATGGAGCAGCAGGTGAAACAAGAGTATTACTAGTAGCATGGGCACCAGCCACATTTCAGCTCAAGCGCAGGTCACAGCAGCACGAATATTGGATCACGGGAACTAAACGTTCTCAAACAGACGAGGTTCTTGTGGAAGCCATCAATGCAACCACTTCGTCGGCGTTAATGGAGTCGCGGTGCGCTTGGGATCTCAGCAGCACTTCCAAAAGCCGGACCTCTTGAATAGGCAGGATTCCCAAAGGTCGCAACAGGCTTCGGCTCGATTTTGCTGGGAATTTCGCAAGTTCCGGCCTTGGCTTCTTGTCGAGTCGGGTCGGCAGCGATGGCGACACGAAAAGCCGCCGCTGCCTTGTCGTTGGTCTGATGGCGGCGTCCCGCCACCATGGCCAAATCACCCATGGCCGTGCGCAAAGGGCACAGTGGGCAGTCGTCCAAGCTCAGCGTGGTGAGCAATGCATCCAGGGCTTTCAGGTCCACCTCTTCGGCCCAGCCTTCCAGGCTGGGAAAGGCAGTCACAACATGTCCCGCGTTCTACATCTGTGTTGCCTGAACCCTTCCTGAAGCAAAAAAGAACAGCAACGATTCTCAGCAAGTGACACGAATCGTTGATGGCGAAGTTCTTCTGGAACCAGTCGGCCAGCTCTACCATGGTCTCGGGTTTCTCCTTCGAGAAGCGGACGCAATGAAACCTAGCATGTGGCAGGAACCCATATGTCTCTCCGTGTTTCGAAGTCCTGGGATCCCCGAAACCCCTCGAACAGCTGCCCGAAGCCCGGAAATCTCAACGAAAAGGTCCACCACAAACATATCTGGTGTACGTTTGAAAATGACTCCTCTTAACTTATGACCTTTGTAAGACCCCTGTCCTCTACAATCCTGTTCACCCCATCCATAATTACAAAAGTCTCTAGCAAACCTACAAGCTCCTTTAGAAAACCCATGAATAACCCTAAACACCTACCAAACTCCCTAAACAAATGTTTAAAAACTTACAAACTCCTTTTCGGAGAACCATAAATGTCCCTAAATCCTGACACCCGATGGCCGAGAGCCGGTCGGCGAGAACAACTCGAGGATCGCTTTTTCAGCTCCGTATATACCCCTGCTTGGAACGCCTTCTCCCGGAAGCGTTTTAGGCTCACTCGGTCTCTCAAACGTCGCGTTAAGGGAACCCGGAAACTGCACGCAGAACCAACTCAACAACAGGCAACCTGGACCCCGGATCCTGCATGTTGTACAAGGACACCAGGATGTCTCTGCGACAGTGCAGGTCTTCCAGTGACGAAGCGGGACGTAGCCGGTCCTGGGGTTTAACATTGACAGCTCTCAAGTGGGACTTTCGGAATTCCTTGTTGTAGGGAATTGTAAGAAAGAAGGAATACCCCGAGGCCCTGATATGCAGAAAGCTCTACGGAGTGCTAGCAGCTGCGAGCAGTAGAGTCGAGGTTAGAGCCTTTTTTGCCGAGGCTCCGCAAGGTGCCAACCCACGATGTAAGCGGGGCTCTGGCCGGAAGGTGCGGAGCTCCTTGCATCCAAAAAAAAAGACCCTGGGGTTCGGCAGAGGGTTTCGTTGATTTTAGGAAGTCGTTGGCCGTGAGGCAATGTTGAGTTTGGGGGGAGGGCTTTTAGACTAGTTTTGGAATCTAGGTTTAGGGTTTAGGGCTTCTTAGACTCTTAGACCTCAAGCTCCAAACTCTAAAGCGATTCAGGATTGAGGGCTTGAGACTTTTCGGGTTCAGGGGACCCGCAGCTTAGAGCAACAAAGGCTCGGCACCTTTCAAAATACATGAGTTCCTTTGACTTCCGTCTTGCTATCAACCCGCCTGAATCCACCCAATGTTCTCGGTGCAGACATGGGTTATTTAGTCGGACATCAAAACTCCTCCGCAGGAGACTTTGCAGAGCTGCTGGACCATGATCCTAGTTTACTCTTCCGAGTCTTACGGGGCCTCTCAATCGTCCTTCTACGTGCTCCGAGAAGGCTACAGGGTGCTGGCTCCGGTCCCGCTGAAGTCCCTTCTGCGGCGCTTGGCCGGCGATCTTTCGGCTTCGCCTGGAGGGGTGCTCCCTTCACAGCGAGCCCAATACCAAGACCCCTTTCCAGAAGCAAAAAGCCCTTAAAGGAAACAGGGAGCGTAGAAAACCTTTTGAGCTGGAATGCTTGATAAGGTCGTACTGGTCCGTCTAGGCACACACTCAGAAGAATCATGAAGCGCCTTAAGGACCAGGACTGCAAACCGTGAACCACAGTTTTGTGTGTGTGTTTGTGTGTTTGTGTGTTTGTGGGTTTTTGTGTGTGTGTGTGTTTGTGTGTTTTTGTGCTTTGTGTGTGTCTTTTGTGTGTTTGTGTGTGTGTGTGTGTGTCTTTTGTGTGTTTGTGTGTTTGTGTGTTGTTTGTGTGTGGCTTGTGTGTGTGTGTTGTTTGTGTGTGTGTGTGTTCTTTGCGTGTTTGTGTGTTGTTTGTGTGTGTGTGTGTTGTTTTGTGTGTGTGTGCTTTAGTGTGTTGTTTGTGCGTGGTTGCTTTTGTTTGGTTGGTTGGTTGGTTGGTTGGTTGGTTGTTTGTTTGTTTGTTTATTTGTTTGGTTGTTTGTTTGTTTGTGTGTTTGTTTGTTTGTTTGTTTGTTTGTTTGTTTGTTTGCTTGCGTGTGTGGTTGTGTGTGTGTGTGTTTGTTTGTTTTGTGTGTGTTTTTATGTGTTTTGTGCGTGTGTGTGTGTGTGTGTGTGGGTGGGTGGGTGGGTGGGTGGGTGGGTGTGTGGGTGTGTGGGTGTGTGGGTGTGTGGGTGTGTGGGTGTGTGGGTGTGTGGGTGTGTGGGTGTGTGTGTGTGTGTGTGGGTGGGGGGGTGGGGGGGTGGGGGGGGGGGTGT